GTTGTAAAATTCGAGACCGAGGCAATTTAATAATGGACTATTTTTAATATTTTCAAATACTTCAAATTGTTATTAACATCAATATTGAAAATTACAAGATGTGGAAAATTGGTTATAGACTGCATACGATAATTAGCATAATATGTCGTCGCGCTCACCGTTACTCTCCATCGTTATTTAATATTGTTATATGACATTTCTGTTGGCACACCGCGTTTCGCATATTTCGAAGCAACGTGAACATAAAAGATTCTACAAACTAACATGGAATGTGACGTACGAAAGAGAAACAGTGCACGGGAAAAATGGTAGCTAACTAAATGTAAAATCATACAAGGTAACATTAATGATTCGTCACCAAATGAAACCAACTTGTTTTTCTTGGTAGAATATTATTGCGAAGGTATATTAGGCATACTCTCCAATTGGACTCCATGGCAGCGATTAATTAGAATTGTTGCGTTTATATGTCGGACATTCAACAAGATCCACAGTTGTCTTATTTATAATTGGGGAGTAACAAGGGAAAAGCAGGTCTTAAGAGTCAAACACGGTTCTTTGTGCGTGAATCAATTTTACTCAATTTCGTTTTACATTGTAATGCAAACTACAAGTTATATGTCTCGGTTCTTTGAGCTTCAGTGACTCAGGAACAGATTAATTTAATAATCTCACGTTTTTCGACTTGTATAAGGTGAATATTAAAAATTAATTGTATATCGTGCAATTTTGGAGAGAAAATGCTTGCTAATAAAAATTTGGCTGATATTCATAATCTGTAAAATATTTGAACCGGAAGTATAGCTCCAGATTCATCAGCAAAGGGACGCGAAATCCACACTCACCAAATTAAATCCAGAAAACGTGAAATTAACAAAGTGTCTTATTTATGTCCATTTCTACCAATCAACAATTTTTTCTACTAATTTTCTAATTCTTAAATCTCGAAAGAAAAAAGATAAACAGTAAATTAAACCGAGATTAAAATTAATCTGCATTGGTAAATATGGGCATTAGACACCACTTTAACGTACAGTTCTCTTTATGTGTATTCTAATTGCGACATATAGTTCCACCCGTCATAAATTTGCCTCTTCCGATATTTGCGCGCGCATCGTTTGTTTGTCTCGGTGCTAAATCTTCCTCTCGGTTAATTCCCATCCGCCCGTCTCGGCCTACTCTGTCTCTCAGACCCGGCTCCATGCTAATGCAGGCTGCAATTTGTATAATTTCGAAATGGGTTAAGCACGCGTCCGAGCATCCGAGGTCGATAACTTTTTCTACCTCCGCGATAGAACGTCGTTATCTGCACGTGCTCTTCCGCAACGGCGCTCATTCCAAAGCATAGTGCTTACTTTACATTTTAATGTCTCCGGAGTCACGTCGACATCTCGAAGTGCTACTAATTTCATGGACCTTTAACTGTAAACTCGCCGATCACGTTTCCTTGCTGTAAAATTTTGCGACAAACGCGCGTACCTTCTATGGAAAAATTATAGCAATTGCAAAACTTTGTGTAGTGTAACCTTTAACGTATAACCATAATTGCATGTGATAACTAAACGTCAAGGTACAATAGCGATTCCGATCGAGTGATTTTCAATGGTTGATGGCGTCATCAAGCATAGCATTAACGGCATTAATCGTGATTGTCCAAGCGTTAAGACGCAGCGATAATCGATGCTCTATACAGTCTGATTATAATTATTGTACATCTTCACACTAACATATAAAAGAGGAAATGAAAACTATAGAACAGTCCTCATACAAATGACATCAAAACGAATCGATCGAAATTAGTAAATTGCACTCTTAATAAAAGCATGATATTGTCCATAAAATGATGCAACAAAAGATTGGAAATTAAATTTTTAGTTTTTATTCGCTAACTGTATCTCGTTGCAGAATATGGCGAAATTAATTTGGGAGAACAATGTTGTTTGGTTATCTAATTTGACATATCAATAAAACTACTTTATATTATTTTTTTACGTAACTGTTTAGGTCCAGTTTCACAAACGTCGGTTAACTGTTAACCAGAGTTCAGTCGACTTCCTATCTTTCTCTATCTTGTTATCCAAGAAGAGATAGAGGATCAATTAACCATGGGTTAGCGGTTAAACGACGTTTCTGAAACTGGCCCTTAATATCACTTTCCATAATTTTTGAAACCTTAACACATACAGAGCTTCGAGAAAAAAAAAAGTCTCAACACTTTGACTTTATTTTATTTAAAAAAAAATTTATTTGAATAAATTGAAAGATTGAAACTTACTATTAATGCTAATATGTTAGCAAATATACAGTTGTTGAATTATTATTAACGAGCTCTCTCAGAAGACGACAAAGTGCACATGTTGTATTTTGTAGTGTCGTACTTGCATGGTCTCCATCGTGCAAGAAATTTCAGCCGACGAAAACCGACGGAAGCTATAAGTGCCACCAAGTGCAATAATTATCATTGTTACAGCCCGTTTTTGCGCTCGTAAAAACTTTATGCATACGTAGCGAAATTTAACTGCAAGCGCTACTAATTAGCAGCGTTAAATGCAACGGATGCTTACAAAAGCAAACAGCGTTTCCATCGTGTTCCTTGAAGCATTTGCCTTTTCATCACGATGCCCATCGAACGTAATTAATATTGCCGTACTTCTGTAAACATTAAAGAATATTTCGATAGAAAAATACATATTTAGCTAATACTTAATTTTCAGAGAAATAACTTGTACAGAAACGACTTCATTTGCGATAAAATATTTATTATTAATAGAGCAGAAAATACTCCTTTATAAACTATTTGACTTTATATCAAATTATCAAGTTTTAATTTAAGCTTTCACTAGAGCCACTTAAATTTTATTGCTTCATCTTTCCCTAATCCAATATTTCGACATAATATCACGACAACAACTTCACGCACACGCAATCAATCTCTCTATGTAATATTCATAAATTTGCGCAGTCACTCCGCGGGTGCTGATGCAAAAAGTTTCGCGGGAATTGCTACGGTGAGATAATGACAGAATATAAACGACACGTTGGATTAATCTGGCGCGAATTTCCGGATCGATTTTTCGACGCATCTCGGCACCTGAACACATAAAACCGAAATCACTTAAACTATACTAAGGCCATAGAAATTCAATCGGCAGTGATGGACATCCATATTCGGCAAATAAATCACTGTTTGTAGATATTCGTGCAAAGCCCATAAATCGTAATCCTTCCGTATTTGAATGTTCATGCGCCATATGTTCTCTCACTTTCGCAAGTGACAGTTGGTACGAAAAGCTTTCATAAATATATTTCTCACGTATGTTTCTTTTTACTTATTGCTTACATTTTTTCACTTGGATTTTTTTCCGTTAGATTATGTAGTCTTATAAAAGATATACCATGTCTGATATTACGAAATGCATTGTGTAATAACTTGCCTTTCGACGACGTTTTCACATAATTTTATTCTTTTCATAACTTAAAAATTTGATAGAAAATTATAATAATAAATCACTGAGCTCCAGCGATTTTGTCAATCAAGGCAACAACTATTTGTCGAGACAAACTTTGCCACGATTCATTCATTATACCAAGTAGAAATCGTAGCGATAGGGAACGCAACAATAAATCTTTGTTTCATTGTGCGATACTCATGGGCGATTTATTTCCTTTACGATATTCGAATTCGAATGTACTTCCTAGTACATTTTGCATTTTCTAATTGAAGTGTAATTCGCCAATTAATTTCCGGGTTAAAACCGCGGAATAATACTGCTTGCTACGTGAAAGATCGATTTGGCGAACGTAGGAAAGAGTAAAATATTTGATAGCTAATTTATCACAAAGCTGTCTTGAAAAGCAAAAGAAAGAATATTCGGCGATAATTTTACGGCGCGTCAAATATTTCGTGGAGACGACAATTCGGCGTGACAACGCGACCTTGGCGTTTGTTTAAGCGTGTCGCTGCGTACACAAGGTCGCCGCGCTATCATTCTTACGCCGACTCTCGAGCAAGTAGGTAGCAATATCGCTCCGTGTATTTTCCTCCTCGAGCCGCGGTATTAAACGTTATCACACGCCTTATGATTACGATAAGCGATCGTTTGCTCGCACAATCAATTTTTCAAGTAAACGGCACAAGGAATGGAGCTTATTTTTCTCTCAACTCACCGGGATTACTTTTTCACATCATAAAAGGTAATAGTAAAAGAGCCCGTGATTACGACGAGCGTGTAATATCACTAATGTAGAGATCTTTTCTTCTCCCTTGCAATGCTTTTAAAACTCAATTCAGTATCTCGACAATGTTAATCGCGGCCGCTTGCGAAAGTCCTAGGCGGAACGTCGGGGATGAATTTCACGAGAGAAAGAAAAGCAACCCATTCTTTATGATCTTTGCACAAAGTGCGGAACGTCGAGATGGATTTTTCTCTTCGAAGAAACACTTCGAAGCGGAGTAAGCGAATGAAGAGTCATCCCGTAATGTCCAAGCTGAAACAAACTTTTCACACGTGAGATGGGGAAGAAATCGTAATGCGATTCCCTACGGCGGATCTCCATTATTTCTCCTGAACGTAATATTTACTGTGCGCCACACAATACGACTTCAGAATCCAATTCTTTCTCGAGATGACTCGTGGGATGCCAACTTTTTTCGCTCTACGATATCGGTTATCATATTAATTAACGCGATCTCTTTTCTGACAAAACTTTCAACAACAACATGCTTCGGATGAGAGAATAATAAGCATAAATTGCGATCATAACGAAGGATACGAAATATTGCTGTAATAACTCAGAGTTACGTATTTTTCATCGAACGCAAAGTCTTCATATTTACGGTACACGGGATACAAAATTGCGCAAGCTCTCTAATACGATTTCGAAATCGCACGATAAAACAATTCGCTGGTTGATTACGTTTTGTCGGCTCAATTGATATTTAGAGTCTCAATTATGGACTCAATTTCACACGAGTTACCACTAATGTATGTTTGTTTCAGGGAGCGGCGAGCCGTGGTTGAGAAGCGAGAAGCATGCCGAGCTAGGAACGGAGATTTTACTGCCCTGCGTCCTGAAATCACCGCAATGCGAGGGTCTGCACAGCATCAAGTGGTATCGCGGACCTACGAGGATTTTCATTTTCAGCGAGGACGCCGGGATTATACGCGGCAATAACGACATTGCTGCCAGGTAATTAAAGTATTATATTGAGACTTGAATGCATAATGCTAGTGGGTTCAACTCGTGCCTTGACTTAATTGGGCTGCCTTTTTTGCAATTTCTTTTTTAAGAAACTAAATTTCATTATTTCTTGATATATTTCGCGGCGCCAATTAAAGCCGTAATACGAACTCACTGAAACTCGCGATAAAAACCACAATTTTACAATGTAAACCGAAAACACCTAAAGTCTTTTTATGTTTCTAAAATTACCATATTAAACGATTCATTTTTTCGCCAAAAAAATCTGCATTATTTTTACATTTCTGAAAATTTCGGAAATCGTACGCAATATTAATAAAAATAATGTCTTATTAATATATTAAAAAATTCTACCTTTTGTCCGAGAAACATTAAAAATCTTCCACAACTGATTGTGAGTTGCAAACAACGCATTTTCTTGAATCATTTTCGGTTTCGATAATTAGCTGTTTCCACGATTTGTAACTATCGCGATTATGCTCATTTCGGGGTCATCACCCTGTAATTGCGTTTCGTGGTTCGCGGTCTATATTTAGAGACCGTACAGCTTCAAATACGTCAAATACGTTAAATGCACACGTGAATATTTAGAGCATGAAACTTCCAATTAGTAATTATCAAAGTCTCTGATTGTTTTAATAATATCTGGTTTGCCATTATGCCTATAGTTGAATCGAATCGTTTACGTATCATTATTCGCATACAAAACTGTTTACATGTACCAATACATGTTAGACCCTTTTGATCATAGGGCTACGGATATACAAGTAAATAAT